TCATCCTAAAAGCGATTTTTGAGTTACTGCGTAGCGAGAATTGGTTCTTAACCCGTAAGAAAGCAGGAATGCTCCTGGCAAACCCATGTCCCATTCGTCTGCGACCACTACGGAAGCTAGGCGCAGTGAATAGGGTGTAAGATCAAAAGTATCATCCATCACCAGTGCGCGTTTTGCGTAGCTTTCCAACCAACATTTTTGTATCGCGTCACAATTACTGTACGGTAAGCTTGCAAAAAAATTATTGGCTTTATGTGGTCCCACCAAGTGAAAAATTATCGCCAGTTGCATCTGTTGCTGCTGCGAAATGCCGTATCCCATCGTCGAGGTTGTGTTCGGAGATGCGCATTTCAAGCGACAAAATGTCGACGGTATGCCTACGAGCTGGGTCTAGATTGTGTTTGTATGCAATCCTTCTGAAAAACACTGGCTGTCATCTCATTACTACGCGTTGATACTTCGTTACTAACCGCCCGCGATGTAGTAAAATACAATCGGCAGTTCAAGTTGCTTGAGTTTCGGCACCGCTCAAGCACTTGAGTTAGCACTTGTTTGTACTTGAATCCATTTTTTAGATAAAAAAGAATTTGCTGTTCAGCATTAGCGTCCATAGTTAGGAGGGCGGCATCGGGCCGATGGTCGCAATGCGTGCGGCAGAATTCTACGTTGATACTTCGTTCGTTTTCCGTTACCTATTCAATGAAGTGGTATGCCGAAGAAGGAAAGGGGAAAAATTACCTTCATGTAAGCTGTGCAGTACAAAACCGTTTTTTTTCGAATTTGTGCACTTCTTTGTGTAAGATGGGCCAGGCTCGGCTCGACTGCATCGCATGTACATATGTAATGTCTTCGTCTCTACCTTTCTTCTTCGAATGGACAGCACACCTAATGGTTTGCTCCTCTTCTAAAGGATGCTTCCACTCCTGGAAATAGAAACGAAATGTATAATCAAACAGTAAGAGACACAGTACACAAAAAAATAAAAAAGAATCGACGACAATGTGGCCATTGGAACATAAAAACATGACAATACATCCACACGCTTACCTGGAAAGCAGATTTGCTGTTGAAGCTGATGGTTTCCACACTGAAGGTTCGGTCACCTGAAGCGTGCGCTTTGCTTGTGTTACAAGTTCATGGTGGTCCTGAAAACGACGTCTCGTTAATAAAAATGAGCACGAGCGGAAAACTTACATTTATTGAAGTCCCACATAAAGGACACGAGATTTTTTTTCTTGATGTGTTCCAGTGTTCCACTTTATTATGTTCTAGCAAGTTTTTTTTCGTGGCGAATGTAGTTTCACAAGTATCACATAGATAGTTTTGTTCTCCAAGAATTTTTCTTCGTTTTGCGGCTTGTAGATTAGCAACCTCCTCCTTAGTGTAGCTATGTACACCAAACAGGTGCGCGAATGAATTTTTTTTAGATTCTTGCTACACTCCGAACAGGCTCCACTGTAACAGAATATTATATAATAGTTCTATCATCACCAGATCAGCAGACCTTTTAGGCCCGCCCATTGCTTCCGCCTACATTTTCTTTGCCTGGATCCAGCATTTGCAGCTACATGTTTGAATAAAGTCACGGTAGATATCAAAGAATGTGCACTACCTTTGAAGGTGCAAAAGGTGATCCTTTAAGCAAATGTAATGGCAACAGTTGAACGCGAATGAAAAATATCCAATGTCCTATCGACTGCCGTTGCCGGTTACAATCAACTTCATTCGTGCGAAAGCCAAGGAAGGCGAGACAATACGAACTACAGACAAGAATTGCTATTCATAACACAATTAAAGAATTTTATCCACGTTTCTTCGAGTAAATTCGAACTTGAAAGAGATATAAGACGAAAAATACTCCTTCACCCATCTTCGGCATGGTACGCTAAATTTGAAAAATAAGGCGTGAAATAAGCAATAAGCATTCTGCACACGAACCGACTACAATATACTTCACGCCTAATACTGTAAGACAGCCGAACGATGGCTGAAGAAGTAATATT